ATTTGAATTTGGAAGATTTCTTATAAAAAATGCATTGAGATACATGCTTTATGAGGTTGATGACACATCAGACACGATCAAATCAATTATAGTTGAATATGAGTAAATATTTGACATACAAATTATAATATTATAGCTATATTATTTTCTCAAGCATATCATAATACTTCTTACTTCATTTATGTGTAATTATATGTATAAATTATGTGCACTCATTTTAATAAATATGTTTAGCATATGTGAACACGTACATGATGACATATATTTTCTATAAATTATATATGGATTTCATTTATGCATCATCTTGATGAACAACTCACATCAGCGCAATAAATTAATATGACCATACCAATATAAGTGATTTACTCATTTATTTAATAAATCAAGCATGTAATTCAGCAAATTTAAATAAGGCTGTGATTTTAGCTCGAAGATCGTTGATTGCTCGGAAATTAATTTAAATATTGGCTTGGATCGAAATAAATGAGCAGAAATATGAGTTAAAATTTTGAATCAAATTCTTTTCAAACCAGATCGTTAATAGCTATAGTGATGTTAGAGCTGTGAACTTTTAGAGAATTTAGCTTGAGTATTGTTGATCGCTCGGAAATTGATTCGAGTTTTGACTCGGATCGAGATCAAATAGAAAATAAACAATTCAAGTTTCGAGTTGATTTTGAGTTAACCCTAACTGAGCTCGAAATATGATCCCCCTGCATTTAAACCCCTATCTTATTAATTAATTAAAAAATGGTTATGGCTCTGTTTTAGGCCGCTGCAGCTTATTAAGAAGTTGTTGTAAAACTGCTGAAGAATAATCTGATATTACAAAAAACTGTGGTGGTTATTACATTTTTTTTTTTTTTTTTTAAAAAGAAAAAAAAAAGGTGTTTTTCAAATTTATCATGGAGCGCTAGGAAAACGATGACTTTAGTGATAACTTTTTTAAAAAAGAATCAAAATACAGTTTATCCAAACGGTATATCTAGCCCGAGGTAAGAAAGCACGTAGTGGTGCACGTGCAAATTCAAGTTTTGACTTCTCCTTTTTGCTATTATGAACAAATTTAATTAGTGTCTGATTAGTGGCAAGTGCATGTTAATAAATTATAAGATTAATTAGAATTAATTAACTTAGTGCACGATCATCAAAGATAGGGAATGGATTTTGTTAGCACGATCCTCTTGAGTAATTAAGAATATAATGGCTTCCACGAGCCATTATAATATTTAAATTTTCATTCTAACTGAAAAAAAAAAAAATTCAAAATTTAATATTAAATGGGGGATTTATGGAAATAATTTAATATGTGTAAGACATATAATTTTTGATGTTTGTTCATAATTGAACTCCACTAATAACTAAATTTTGATTTGTTCTTAACGAAATCGTTTAGACATAATTAAATTTCGATTTGGTTGGTATGGTATAATTAAAATTTTAATTTTTGGATCTCAAATTTGAGCTGTTATCGGTCTGATCAATTTGAAAATTGATCGATCCAAACTATTAATGTGAATGCTAGCCCTTAATTGTAAGTATGAATGCTTCTTCTATCCTTTTGAGGCACATATGTAGGATTCAACCTATCTGTTCAACTCGAATCCCATGCGACGATGTAGTGTTTGCACCTTAGCATTGTGTGAGATGTAAATTCTCTTGAATGTGTTTGGTGTTCGTAGACGACCGTTTGTTTGTCCAGCACCGTCATACTCAATCCCAACACTATAGGGAATCATTCTTTGTTTGTTTAAGCTCTGCAGTGCCATAAACCCAATGTCGTGGCGCTACCATTTTCTCAATATAAACTGCCCTTCTCACTCCTTCCATTTTCATGGGATCAATCATTCGGGTTGAGCGGGTAGGAGTGCATGGTAGAGCATTCAAAATGATTCCATGATCATAAGTTTTGTCTTCATATATGCTAGACTCATGCCTTCGATAAATAATATTGAGGTTGCTAAGGATCAGGCGGTCCTTAATTATTGCATTCAACAAGAGAAATTCATAGACGTTGGCTTTGCCATTCATGTTTCTATTCAAAACATGGTTAAGAGACCCTATTGGCCTTGACAACCCATCAGTTATTTGCCTTATGTGTGAAAACGGGGGTCGAAAGTGAAGGCTTTGGAAAGCAGTTAAGACTGGCTAACCTTGAAGAATGAGACTTATACATCATAAAAGGGCGCAACTTCTGATACTTGGGAGAGTTCTTCTCGGGCGTCTACTTCTTGCTCTTGCTTTTCTTCTTTTCCATAGCCTAGAGATTAGACATCTTGAGTGATAATGTGATCTTTATTCAATGGTGGCGATAGGACATGAGTTAGTGCTTCAACTATTATATTGACCAACACCAACACCAATATGAGTATCGGCCACAATTTAACTTAGCTTTAGCAGACATGTTTCAACATTGCTAGTTTAACACGAGGCCTAGTCCAATCCAAATTCCTATTTCACCACCTTCAGCCAATGTAAGGATATCATTAAGTCCATGAAGCTAGATGAGAATGAGAATCATGATGATGAGGGCGATGACTCTTGTTTTTATAATTTGCTTATGATCTGAATTTCCCTTTATACTATTTAGTATTTCATGGACATGTGTTTAGGGATATGCTATTTCTACTTAGTGATTTGTTGATGTATTTATGTGCTTTCAGCTTAGTAATTTGTGGATTCATGTAAACACTTGTGCTATTAAACTCCAATTGAATGATAACCTTAACTTAGATTCCTTGTAACTTAATAATATATAAGGTAACTAATTATAAGTGAATACAATTACACCTTGAAAGCATTTACTACGATATCCTGAAACAATGAAAGGTAGACCACCAATCCCATGAAAATCTACTGATTATTCTAAAGACCTGTCAATCTCACTAGTCATAACAAAAGAGTTAAATACCAACATAACAATATTAAAATATCAACTATATTTTATGCATTACAATCAAAACACAAGAATGTAACTGCAATATATCCATAAATATTTATAACGAATTACGAAAATGTAATAATGAGATCTAATATGGCAATGTTATAAAGAAATAATAATTATTAAAGCATGACATGGTAGTAACTAAACTCGAGTCCATGCAACAGTAAAATAAGACTAATTATACGAGAAAATCATTATGGAAAAAATAAATAAAATCTACTGTAACTATATTAACAAAATTTATATGGTAATACTAGCAAACATACAACTAGCTAGGAACCTAATACAAGTAATAACATTAACAACTCTAATTAGGAATAGTACGTTTTATCCCGTAAGAAAGATCAAATACTTGCCTCGAGACAACAAAAAATCACATCTAAATTTTTCAGTGACTCAACTAGTGTTGAACAGTAATCCTACATAAATTAGAATCTAAAATATAAATAATTATGCGATTAAATATTAATTATTTATTAGTTGTAATGGAATTAACATATTATTATTATTATTATTATTATTTTAAAAGAAAGTATGATCCCAATTACTGTAATATCTACTTTAGAATGACATGACAATCCGATTATTAAAATAAGATTACTCTCTGTATTTATTTAATTATTCGCTTATTAAAAACTATGAAAAAAAAAAGAATTGCATTAAAAGAATAAAGGAGGAAGGGGGAGCTTACAAAGCTTGATTGATAGGTGGGCTATATATGCCATGATCCCGTTGTTGCTTTCACTGATAGCTCTGATTATGACAACATCGCGGGGGTTTGTAGAAGGAGAAAGGTAGAGTTTCGGTGGCTACCAAGGGGAGAGTAAGGTTAGGCGAGGTGACTCTCTACAGTTCATTGTCAATTTTTGAGGAGAGGAATCGGTAGGGTCAATCAAATCAGGAAGTCAATTGTCGACAGAATGAGAGCTTTACATGATCACAGGGTTCGCGTGACCAAAAGGGGAAACAGTGCGATTCTGGAAAGCGACATAGGAGGAGAACGTGTGATATCAGGAGAAAAAGGAAAAATTTCTCATTTCTTATATACTACCATCCTCAAAAGAAATTGGACCCCAAATTCACACCTTAATTTTGGAGTGGTTGTGGGTATTTTGCTATCAACTCTACTTCTGTCTTCGAGGTTGCCTCTTGCTCTAACTAGTTTTTTCCAAAGCACTCTAAGAAAAGGAGTAGATCGACGATGAAGCTGTCAAACTTCACGCTCCAAGATGTGATCCCATAGTTCTTCACAATTCAAGTCTTCTTAAATCACCAACAGCGCATATCAAATGATATACGAGTCATTATATTAAGAGGTTGTTCCACACAAACCTCAACGGGTCGAGAAGGACCGACAAGGGGGGCGGCTAGGGGAGCGGGGTCTCTTTAGAAACATATACAACTTCTATAGTAGTTCCAAGAACCTTTGATGCACAAGCAACTACAATACTTCTTTCTTCAGAGCCATTCTAAACTATTGAAATTTACACGAAATCAAAATCAACAAAATGACTAATTAAACAAGAATAAATTATCCCCTACCCAGTCCTAAGAAGATAAGGGATATGAAATGTAATGACATGCTACAATTTTAGCCAAATCGGATATCCATCCACTGATCACGATAAGCGAGCCATTATATGTAGCTCCCTAATTGAGTCAATTGCTCGAACTAAACTAGCTGAACAGTAAGAAAAGATTTCAATGAAATAGGATAAATATATTTAGTTCTGACTGTATGAAGTAATTAAATCTGTAATATATCTTATAAACATATTACTCATAGCAAACTCTTATAAACATTTTTAAGGATATATAGTTAAATTTGAGATAAATTCTGAAATTGATAAGAAAAGATTTCAATGAAATAAGATAAATATATTTAGTTCTGAATGTATGAAGTAATTAAATATGTGATATATTATCAAAAAGTATCACTCATAGCAAACTCTTATAAACATTTTTAAAGATATATAGTTAAATTTGAGATAAATTCTGAAATTGTGCCAAGTATAACTAGCACCTGTTTTCTCTTCCTTGTCAACTTTAACTTGTAGCTGACCCACCACAGCTACAAGGTGGTCATTGACAGTACCATTTCTAAGGCAAAACATTAGTCTGAATTATTACAGCTTCAACATACTAGTTATGTGTCCTCTGAACAAATGCATCATATTGAAAGTTACTTTATGCTTTATTTGAATATCAATGTGGTTGTAATTAGAGCATGAAATCACATCATATGTAATATTGCCTTAAAGTTGACTATATTTTAAAATTTTGGAGAGATATAAAAAAGAATTAGGTTTGTCTAAAATTAAGCCATAAAGAATAACTTGACTTGATTCGAACTCAAAAAATTACGTTCGTGGTAAATTAACTTTTGGGTCAAATTTAGGTTGTGTCGCCATTATGAGATTGACTTGAAACTAGCTTGTCAACCCGAAATTGACTCTAAGTGACACTTCAACACAATATTAACTCGAATTTGACTCAAATAGCTTTTATCTATATATTAAACAGGTTACACAAGAAGATTTGGTTCATTCAGGTTCAAGAAGGGTTATGTTTAGGTTAGACTTTCTAGTTTGTTTAAGTTTTGGGTCAAGTAGTTTTGTGCAGGTCAATTTCAGACATACCCACGAACCCGATTTTGACAACTCTATTTTACATGCAAAACAAGCAAATTTTCTGTATTTACATAGTTAGCACCAATTTTTTTTCTTAACACATTAAAAGTATCAAAATATTAAGATCTTTAAATAAAATGCACATTTTCATGCTTAAGTTTTGAGGTGATTGTGTTAGATCATTTTTGAGTTCTTCATAACCCTTTATTATAAAATACACAAAATAAATCTATAATAAATAAGATAGAGTCTACTACCTTATGTGTCACTTTTTATGTATAGAACATATGACTTATTTGGATAATATATATCCTAATTTCATTTTTAGTTTCTATTTGTTGGGAATAAATTGTAGACCAAAGTTTCATCTTAGACATTTATACCCTTGTTTATGTAATTTATTAAATTTGTCTTCATATAATTGTGATTTATCAACATGCTATCGATCCTTTCGAGTCATTCCACATTTTCTTATAAGGAAAAAATCTTCAGAGATTCAGGTTATGATGAAACCACAGAACATAACTGAATATCTTTAATCAAAAGTATTATCAAAGATATCATTCAAGATAAAATTCATTATAGGGGCTTGATCCATGAGAAACAAGATTCCAAAATTAAGTAAAATTATAGGGGAAATATCTAATAAATACAATTGAATGCATTCTATTGATCTCAAATTTTTGAAAGAAGATCAATAATCATTTTTATCATATAGATGACATGATCCAGACTCTTCTCCCCAAACATTTGTGACTCTTTTGAAATCTACTTAAATAAGTCATGACTGTTTATCAACTGGATTCAATCATCTTTCCTCTGCTGCCGTTCTAGGCAAAATGTTTATTTAACAATATAAATCATAATGCTCTCTTTTGTGGTTCTTGATCATTTTTATTTTTATTTTATAATTCATCATATTTGTGCATGGCTAATGCTTCCTCAAAAGCCATTTTTTATAGCACAGTAGAGGGGCTCATGCAATACATTTTCAAACAAAATAGAGTTTTAATTAACATTAATCTTCTACTCCAATCTTGCTATTAAACCAAATATGGGGTTTTGGACCCTAAAAACAACATTAACATAACAAGAAAATAATATTCTCAAAATTAGTGCTTTTCTTTTTGACCAAACCCTACAAAACCAATATTAATTTCATAAATTAATTGAAAGATAATTAATTTGGCTTTTTAGTATCATCATCCATTTTCATTCATGCAATTCTTTTCCTTTTGGAAGCTTTATTAGCTCTAATGCATGTGATAATTAGGCAATGATTACATCTTCTATTACATAGCTTCCAACCATTTTAATTTCTTCTTTTTTGATTCACCCCAATCATTAGCATATATAACGGGAATATATTTCTAACATGATTGACATATAATATCTACTTCCTCTACATAAAGAACAATAAAGTAGTTATTATTAAATATTTTGATCAAAACACAATAATCATAGCTTCATTATATCCTTGTGTTCTTTAAATGGTTTTCTTAAACCTAATACCATTTATTTAAAAAAAAACCCATAATTGACGATCGAGATTATACGCATCGTCCAACAATTAGGGCTGTGAAGATCATTAATTGCTCAAAAATTAAGTTGAATTTTAGTTCAAAACGAAAAAAACAAACAGAGCTATTAGTCACAATTTTAGATTGAATTTTTTTAGAGATGATTTCAAGTCATACATGAATGAGCTCGTAATAGCACAAGATCAACTCGAAGCTTTTTTTTTTTTTTACATATAAAAAATTATATATAATGCTAAATAAAATTGATATGAGTGTCAATCAATTTTTTAGCCAGAAAAGATCCAAATAACTTTACATATAAAAAATTATACATAATGCTAAATAAAATTGATATGAGTCTCAATCAATTTTTTAGCCAGAAAAGATCCAAATAACTCAATTTGAGCCAGCTGGTTTTGATTTCAAGTCGACTCGACTAAAAGTCAAATATAACAAACCATGAGCCGCATTCAATTCATTTAACCCAACCCCAACTCAACTCGAAATTAGATCGTTAACCACCCTAACACCAATCTACTTATAATTTGATCTTAAGAATGAGCGGTACCAATCTTCTAAGATGAGTAAACCTCCTTTTACACAACAACATTAACAATAATTAAAAAAATAAAATAAAATAATTTTATAGATTAATTACACAGATTTCTGCATATACAGTTATCACTAAACTAACTGCTCAAGGATCAATAATACAGATCATGCTACCAATACCTTTTCTTATACAGCCGAAGATGGAAAGCTCTACACACAAAAAGCTGGAGCACTAATCACTTCCAAAGGAAATCATCACAATAACCTAATTCTTCTTTATTTTTATAAGGGCCATTTACATGGATATCACCCAATTTCTATGCATTTACATTTCAAACACCCAAATTTAACTTCTTACATTTATACCGCCCAAATCATCAACCTTGAAAGGGTGGAATGCACCTTTTCAGGCGTAGGGACATATGTAAAAATTAAAGTTTAGGTGTTACGTATATAAATACGTAAGAATTGAGTGGTGTGTATGTATAAAAAAAAATATTTTTAAAAAATTAAAAAAAAATCTATCCAAAATGTCATGAGGATGACACATGGCTCTTCCTTTCTTCTGTAATTGTTTTTATGGAAATTTCATCTCGGGCTGGAACTTTAAGCCATGACTTCATCAAATCATAAACTGTGAATCCAATGGCTACTGAGGGAACAACCTGGAAATTTTTATTTTTACACTAAGAAGCCATGGACATAGGTAGTTATATAGTTCTATGAAGCGCATAAGTTTAATATTAAGCTCACCTTAAGAAAATTGATGCTCAGGCCAGAAAATAGTTGCCTCCAGCCTTGATTCTGAACAATCATAACAAGCGTTTCGAACGTTCCTTTAGCTGTTCCTTCAGTGGAAGTTGAAAGGGAGTGCACCTGAAGATTATTTCTACATTGTTTCCCTAAGCTTGCTCTTTGATTTCGCATACTTCATACAAAAATATAATGGGCATTTACATACATACCACCCAATTCTTACTAACGCTTAAGCTTATATTCTTTAAATTTATACCACCCAAATGTTTCATATCACATCAAATATCATTAGTTTAACTTTTAAAAAGTGAAATGCAACTTTTCATGTGTAGGTAACGTGTCATATATGTAAAAATTAAAGTTTTAGGTGTTAGATATGTGAATGCATAAGAAATGAATGGTATGCATGCAAATCTTTAAAATATGAAGAAAGCAAAGGTATGGTACCTGCATTTGTCTCCTGACGACGTCTAGAGGATAGGTAATACTTTGGCCCAGCAAACCGGCAATGGAGCCGCAAGCAAGATTCACACTAACGTCTTTCTTGCGTTCCTCATCAACACGAGCTTTCATGGCCTCGTAGAAATAAAACTTGAGACCAGAATATGGGAAGATTCCGTATAAGGATGGGCCTGATAGTTTTGGGGAAAAGTTGAAGGAAAACATTTAACATGCTGATTTAAAGATAAATTCTGAAATTTGTAGAATGGTGCTGTCTGTGGGAGATCTTCAGACTATGATTTCATTTAGGAAGGATTATGCTTTAGAAATACTATTTTTGCAGTAAAATGCCTAAATCTGCAAGTCCTTGCATTTCTTTTTTTTATGTTTTCTTTAAAAATAGCAAGTTTCTAGTAGCCAATGGGTATTTAAGAGGACCATAAGAAATAAAACAGAATAATTAGAAATCTGACTAAGAGAAATTGCAGAGAGAATAGCATACCAATGCCACGATAGAGACCTCTTAAGCCATTTTTTTTATATATCTTTATCATGCAGTCACGAATTCCGTGATAAACCTGATCACCGGAAGACAATACTGTAAATTTCAGCTTGGAAGATTCAATAACCTGTAAAAGAACTTCCATTGGTGTTAAAGAGTACTAAGATTGGCTATACTTGGCACCAAACTTCATAATTATCACACCTAAATCAAGCTTTACCTCAGTAAGAACTAAGAAATGACTTGAAGAAGAATGGAAAAAAATGGGCACAGGGCATCCTATGGAATTTTTTTGTTAGAATGACTCTCAATCTCATTAAATTTACTTTAATAAGCATGCAAATAAATTTTAGTTGCTTTATAATAATTGCATTCATCTCAAAATTAAAATTTGGACCGATCTTGACACAATTTTTTTCCTTTTTTTTACTAACTGCAACCACAGTCGTTCTTTAACAAGAAAACTACGTAAAGCTAAATAAAAGATGAAGAATTACTCTACGATCTGCACCTGATAAGCAAGTTTGGTGCGGACTAAATCCAGAGGATAAGTGCAGAGCACTGCAGTTCCACCAGCAATGGAACCTGAAACCAGGTCAAGAACAGGCCCTCTGTTGATATCTGGAAATCCAAGAATTATCCAACGACGGTATTGTTCATAAGCCATGTAGTGCAATGCTGCATAAGGCACAATACGAGCTATACTGGCTCCATTTCCCCTGAAAGTGTGAGAAAATAATATTACAGAATTAAGAATATGCGTGGATAATTCAATACAAGGAAAAGACAAGCTCAACAAGATCAAACCTGTAAAATCCAAGTACCCCTTCAGTTCGGATGATCTTTTGGAATGAACCAAACAAACCAATACCCTGAAAATCAGCTCTTCTAGTCTGCCAACCACAACAGAAATTTCTTTTATAAAAAATGATTACAAAATGATGTAAACTGAACAAGCCGTTCAAACATTGAATGTAATAAACATTTTAAAACAGAAAAGTTAAACAACACTGGTTGCTGGCCTGGTAAGTCGAGCTTCCACATTAATGTGATCGCAATACTAGTTAATCAGAGATTAATCTATAAATAAACCATTCCTTAACAATGAGGTTCGGGTTTTTGGTTAGGTCCTGCGAGCTTTATGTTCTCTGCCCGGTCTCGACATCCATCATTTGGTGCATTTTGATGATTTCATCAAGTCGACATCATTAAGTCCAACCACCAAATAATAATAATAATATTTTATCCTTCCTATTTTAGCAAAAAGTGTATTTGGTCCAGCCGATTTGCATAGTGTTCGATTCTTTCCCCCAATATCCAAGTATATACTTAACACCAGCCTCCTCTTCCCTCTCCACTGGGCTGTTCAACAAATTTACATAGCGACAAATGGCAAAAATGAAAATTTTGTAATCAACCACAAGTCAAACATTACACCATACAAAAGTACTACATAATAAGCAACCTCGTAATTCGTTAATACTAAACCAATATTGTGATGGGAGAGAATGAAGAACAAGATAAATAGATGGTCGCCAGAAAAAAAATTATTTTTTTAAGAAAAATTCTTCATAAGAAATTATAAATAACAAGTAAAAATAATGATAAATTTTGAAAAACAGATCAAAATTAAGGCCGTTAATGAAGCAATGCACTTGATCAACAACTTGAACTCGACTTTGTTAAGATTTGATCATGTTCGTTCAAATTAGTAATTGTTCAGAGCTTAAATGATCAAATCTTAATCGTGCCGAGTTGAAGTTGAACGAACATGATCAAACATATTCAGGCCCTCTTTTGAACAACTTGAACTAGGCTCGGAGCTTAAATGAACTAAACATGAACATAGTCGAAGTTGTTCATTTATGTTCCCGAATAAGCTTGTTTATTGTTCAACAAGTAACTTATTAAATACTCGATATTAAACTTGATGATAACTCGTATCATATGTGATATATTATTTAAATAAAACTTAATTAACTAGAATTTAATTAATTATAGATTTAATGCTAATATATTTTTATATCAATAATATTTTTAGAATATTTATTAATTATATATTTATTTTATTAAAGTTCAGGTGTTAGATGAGAAAATAGATAAGACTTATGTGATATGTATGAAAATATCCCTTAAAATTATTTTTAAACCTCCACAAAACTCACTTTCCCTATGGCTTCCCACAGTTTTGCATCTTCGGGTTTTGCCCAAAACATACAAAACCCTGAGTTGCTAGGGCATGCAAACACCGAAGGCAGTGGCGAGATCGCGACGTGCAAGGATATCTAAAACTCCAGTCTCTTATATTTCTCACATTTTCACTCTTCTAAGAAGTCCGATCTGATTAAAAAGTGGCGTTGAGAAAGTACACCACATCATTGTAAGTTATATATGATTAAGAATAAAGATGGTGCAACAACTGAATATAAAAGACATCCATAAAATTATCCAAAAAAATTAGAAAAATGAAAAGTGCATATCACTATGCGAAAGCCAACACCTATATTTGAATATGAGAGTTGGGGGCGCAAATTTAAATGTATGATCAAACTAAAATATGAGAGATTACATCCTATATGATCACGGTTCATGTGTTACCTTTCATTTTTACAGAGTTTATAATCGATAAATTAACACATGCGATCAGATTTGTAAAATTATTTATTAAATTTTTATATGAAAATCTAGTTCTCATTTGAATTTTTAATTTGTTTGAAGCTCGTTAAATACATGTTTACTTTCCATAAATAAATTTAGTAAAAATCAAGTTCAAACATTGAAAAATTTAAACAAGTCAAGCTTGAACAATATATGAAAGCTCGACACAAGCTCAAGCTGAACATGAACAACTTATAATTATATCAAGCCAAGTCCAAACCATGATATACTCAACTCGATTACAATCCTAATCAAAATGAAGAATTTGTGAAAATCATGAATTAAATTGCAATATTGGGAAAAGTAGCGAAACCAAACAGTAAAAGTCTCATTTATTTTACTAAAAAAAGGAGGTACTATGAAGTCCGGGTATATCGTGAAATCGACCATCGTCCATCCAAAAATGAGAAAAAATAGAGAGCAAAATGGTGCATTTCTATGGAGCTTTAGGAAAAAGACCTGCCCAAAATTCTAGTGCAAGTATTCATAGTGCATATTATTACAGCATGAAACATTTATAATATGATAATTGGCACCGATACATTGCAAAACTAATTGATTTCAATAACTGCTATTAAGTTCATTAAAGGATAAAATATGTAGCATAATTGTTATTGGGATCAAATCTACTAATTGATAAATCAAATTGTATATGACTACAATTTGGATATCAGATCGTAAAAAAATTAACAATTGTTTGATTTGCTAAAAGAGGAATAATGTAAATGAAAGGAATAAAGGGATTGTTTGGCTTGCCGTAAACGAAATAAAATGTAAAAGGAATGTAATGTAAAAGTATTGTTTTGTATTTGAAATAATGTAAAATTGTTTGGTGACCGTAAAATAAATGTAAGACTTTATATTTTCTTATTTGTTTTGAGAGAGAAAGCCCAAAATAATCTCCAAACCATCAGCAAGTCACCAATTTAGTCACGGAGTATTAAGGTGTCCTACTTTAGTCCTACTCTATTGAAAATTGATCCAAATTAATCCTGAATTATATTTTCCATTTAATTTAATGGTGTTGCTTCACCAATTGAGAATAAATTGATCAAATTAAAAATTTATATTTACGAAAACCATCCAAACTCCCTAAATTGTCACTTCGCGGTTTTATACCTTCCATGCATTGCATCTTCTACTCGTGTGACTTTTGTTGCTTAGTCCTTTTTGTGGATCTTACTTGTTTAGTCAATTTGACCACTACCTGGCTTCAACCTTCAATAACTGAGATGGAACCACACTTCGGCCTGAGTCGGTTCAACTTGGAGAGGTGGCGAGCGGGGCCAACTGGAGCAAGCATTGACGAGAATATAAGCTTGTCCAGGATAGGAGGATTTCGCCGAAGAAAAGCAAGTAATATCATCTTTCTCTGCACCACCTTGCATTATTTGATTTTAATAAGATTAACACAAAACCAGAAACAAATTTTCAAATTTTGTAGGATTTGGGGTTTGTTTGGTAGCACGATTTAGGCTATTTGAACAAGAGCCTAAATCCTTCCAAATAGCAAAAATGACAACTTTAAATCCTAAGGGATCTAAAATCTTATTTCTCCTCCATTTTACCTAAAATCGGACTTAATAAATATAGTTGGAACGCGATTAAATCTTATTTGTATCCAAGCTCCTTTAGGTTGTCTTTCTAGCTAATTGGTAAGATTTAACTCCAAATTAAATCCCTCAAATCTTGCTACTAAACAACCCCATATCATGCAAGTGAGTGGGAGAGAGACTAGAGAATCAACATTTTTTTTAGCAACCAAGCTGGAGTAAGTTTAGGATACGAGTGTGATTTACTTCAATGTGCGAGCGAGAAGTGGTGTCAACTAAAAAAATGGGTAACATAGGAGGCGACAATCATGATAGTTCATCAAAGCCAAGCACATGTATAATTTATTTCATTTTTTTTTCTCAAATTGAGTATAAATACCGTGAATTTAGATCACTTTTTTGTTATAGGGAAGATCATTGAAGGCCATCCAACAAAAGTCGTCCGCTATTAATGTGAAAATCTTAAGAGAGTAAGTTTATTTATTGTAAGTTTTTTTTTTCAAATTCTATTCTAATATTTTTTTTTCAAATTATGATGAATTGTTATTATTATTATTTTTTTCCAGCAAAACATCTCAAAATAATGATGAGATGAGACCAATAAAAAAAGTTAGACCATATGAAGTTGTGTCTAAATAGCTTGATAATACAAACTTCTCGCAACTTTTTTATGGTTAGACTAAAATGACTAATACTGAACTAGAAAATGTAGAGGGTAAAGACAAAAAGGTGGAGAAAAATGAGAAGAATGGTTCTTATAATGATGATGAAAATTACGAATATCTCAAATTATGGTGGAAATTTTGTAGACAGTGATCATGAAATCATGAAGATGATGAGTTATTTGAAAGCAATATTGAGCCTTCTTCCGAATTTACACGTATAATAAATAAATGCAAGAAGAAGATTGGGAAATATACTGTAAGTTCTAATGAAATGATGGAAATAAAATGTTATGATGGTGATTGTATGAATTTCAATGATGAAGCCAGTGTTCAACAACGAAGCTGCAGTCTTAAGGAGCCAGTTTTCAATACCAAGATACGGTTCCAAAAATATGATCTTAAAATGAGAACGATATTTAGTAGTAAGGAAGAATTCAAAGAATTTGTGCAAAATTGGTCAATTATCAAGGGAAAGACAATTAAGTTCTCAAAAAATAATAAAAAAAGTACAAAAGTATTTGTATGAAGCCGAATTGTCAATTTCATTAGTATATTTCAAAATGTGAGGTAAGTCATTCATGGCACAAAAAATCATTTCATGAGATATGTTCATGGAGTAATCATAATAAAATATTAACCAATACAAATAAGGTAGGTATAAAATCCGCAATGCAAGGCTAAATTTTATATAAGATAGGTAATAAATGATCTGAAATTACAAGTTTCAAAGTGGCAAGTTATAAAAATCATCAATAAAACATGTAAGTTGGTTCATATGAAAAAGGATGAACAATTCAAGAAATAAGTGATTACTTCTTGGAAGGTAAAAAAAATCTGGGAACAATTATATTAGAACAAACAGCACGTGAGACAAATTTAGATGGCCAATTGAGATTTGTCAGGATGTATGCTCCTTTGAAACATACAAAAAAGCTTAGTCAAAAGTTGAAAGCTAATGATTGGGGTTGATAGTAATTTTTTTAAGAGACCATAAAGGGCGGCTATTAACTGCATTTA